TGTTTAAGCCACAGGGTTCAAAGCGTGTGAAAAAAGTAGCGGTTTATAGTCCGGAAATTACGGTACCTTGTACTGTGAGCTGCAATAGCTCCTGGCTGGCTTGATACAATCACTGCTGCCATGATCTTTATTTAGTCAGTTCACTTGATTTATGACTCTTCTTACATTGTTACATTGCACAAGTTACACTGTCTTGCTTTAACTGGAGTGTAATTTGAATATTATCATATTTGAATTCTTTGCAATCAATGAATTTTGCCAATGCATCTTGCCTGGTAATGCGCTTCCAGGGCAGCACTGTAGCTGTCTTCAGTTTTTGCTTTCTTCAGAGGCACTTTTCACGTTCAGTCTGGATTTCAGCAAGTAAAACACAAGCTAAGTTGGATTTATTGGGGGTTATACATAAAATAGTGGCCCCACAAGTGCTAAACCATTCAACCAACATGGATGTGACCACCATCAAATGTTTTGAGTTAAGTGTCAGAACTTTAACCTCAAATGTGCTGGATTAGGGCCAAAACAAAAGGAAATAAATCACTGTTCTAATACTTAGAGGCTGCAGTGTATATCTTCAAAGAGAGGCAAACCTAGAAGAGTGAGAGAATGGATGAAAGAAGGATGGAGAGGAGGTGTGTTGTGCTGGAGGGGCGCAGGTGGAACAAAGAGAACGAGAGCGAGCCAGAAGAGGGATGAGGAGCGACACATCACTCAGCATCTTTGATAAAATCCTCCTCCTGTTGCAAAACCACACCTAACCACTTCCATGTACTGTAACCAAGTCCCTGCTCACAAGGACTATTGTTGCACCCATAATTAGATGGACAGAGCAAGTGACAGAGTGACTAACCTTCAACCATGACAATGAGAGGGGAAAGTAGGTAGGAAAGGACAAAACCACAGCAGACTGCGGCCCCACCCCCTCTAGACTGTGCCCTCTTGACTTGACCCTGGTGAAAGCTGTGTAAGTATGGAGTTAATCAAAAGTGTGTTAGGATGACAGGCAGGGGGCCCTTCATGAGGCTGCGCCAGGGGCCCCAGCTCCACAAAGCCTCCAGTGTGTGGGGGGGTAGAAATTGTGGAGGTTGTCTGTCCGCTGGTGGCAATAAACTGGGATCAGTTCCGACCCCAGCAAAGAGCCCACCAACGTCTCTGCATGATGATGTGTACAACAACCACCTGAGTGCCCACCTGATGACACATACACAGTCTTGGGCCCCATACGTCAACGCGTACAGTTTACAGGAAATGTGACAGTAAAAGAAAGTTTACCACACATCCTGTCTTACTCATCCAAGTACTACTTTGTCTACAAGTCAAAACAGTAACACAGCACAGATATTCTCACAAACATTCACCTAGGCCCTCTCACAGACTTTACCTCTGTAATAATGAAGAAGTCATCACCAGGTTCTCCTTGCACCACTATCTTCTCTCCATCCTCAAACTGGACGGGCTCCAGAGCATCGGCCACCGTCAGACGTTCCCACTTATCCAAAGACTCTGTGAATGGAAAATATATACAGATCCGTAAGAACAATGTGTTATTTACACTGATGATGAATGCAACAGTAGATACAAAAATATGGTTGTGTTTGTGTGCATTCCATGGTCTGAGAGGATGTCTCTTGCTCAAGTCCAGTAATATGGTGGGAACGATAATTCCTACCTCGGCCTAATCCAGTCATTCATCAGGGACCATTACATTTTAGATCCCCCTGCCTCCTCCCTCCTCCCATGGAGCCTCATGGAGCTAAAACACCTTGAAACTAACCCCTGAATCTATAAGACCTCACCTACTGATTCTGTGGTGTGCTGACAGAGAGCTGTCCTCTTTGAGGTTAATTCAGGTCTGACCATACAGAGTTTTCTCCAAAACAAAGTCAGGTATCCTCAAGAGGAGGCTCCCTCAGGCTAAATTCGTGTAGATAGTAAAAAGTGAATATGTATAGGATGAACTTACAGTGCAAAGAATAGTGTTTGTTCAGTGGCTGAGATACACCTAAAGGATTAGGAAGATAAAACTGAATATTTGCCTTCTGTTATTGTAAAATGTGTACAGTATGTTCAGTTACATACACTCCAGGAACAGGGCTTATAATTGCACAGGCTATAATAATAAAGTTAAGATTAAATGAACTTAAATGGAATCCAATGAAACATTAAAAATCATTTAGATTCAATGAAAAGCGACAATCAAACTCTGGAATAGATATTTATTTGCAGGTACATGAAGAATATTTGTGAATGAGTCCTACCAAAACCTGTGATAAAATCTATCTTTTTCACTTTTTTTGTTGACCCTGAAAGCCAGTGGCGACAGCTGTCTTTCCGACCGTCCAACCACATGTACAGTGACGTGGTTAGCCCGGGATATTTCTAGAAGCTGTTGGTATTCACACAGAAACCAAAAACACAGACGGTCACACATCCTCACTGGGAAAAATGTTCCAACCAACAAAGTTTTCAGCAACTCAGAACTATTGATATTTATAGAAAGAGGACCCACTAACACCTAAATGCCTCCACGTAGAAGATCTGACAAATGAGCTCATCCTTCTTTCACAATTCAGCAGATTACCGTTCCCTAATCTTAATGGTCTATACATCTACATGTGGAATGTGACTTATCTCCAGTGAAAACACTCCTCATCTTTAGCTTTGTCTAGATAAAAGGGTGATTCAGTGTTTTGATTTGACTAAGACGTGAGTTAGAGGCGTAAAACTACAGCAGAATCTCTTTATCTGAGACTATTGTCTCCTGATGTGCTCAGTAACTGATCCCAGTGTGTGTCTATTTGTGTTTGTGTGCATGTATGTGTGTGTGTGTGTATGTATTTAGGCTTAAGTAAGGTGAAGTCTGGTTGGTTGGAGGTGTCCAGTGTCCCTCCGGTGGGGCCGTGGTGTCTGCCGGCCCCAGATGGATGTCCTCTGTCTGGCTGCAAGCTAAAGGCAGCAGGTCCTATAGTAGTGATCCCTAACAGCTCGGCATGTAACACGATACACAAATGTGCTGACTAAAGAACCTAAATTTCACGCTTCGCAGAGCCTGCACCCACTTGGATCACCTTGGTACACACATACATAGTACGCACACAGGTTATTGGCCATTGGGACGATAAAGCCTCTCTGTGTATGCAACAAAGAACATGTTGTTTTTTCCCCCTTCACTCCTCGACATCAAGGGCTTGTACCCAATTTCGTGGCTATCTCAAAAATCAAAGACAAACAAAAACACTCCCGCCTCCTACCCCCTCCAATTCAAAGAGGTAGAGCGGAGCAGCAGAGCGACAGAAAAGAGGAATGAAGAGAGGAAAAGCACTTCGAAGAAGGAGGCGGGCGTTTGCATACAGGCCCCGACAAGGCTGTCAAAAAGGGAGACGCAGAAGAAAGGAGGGGATTGAAAAGAGAGTAGATCTTGCGGGGACGTCCTCCTAAGACCTGAATTGAGTGTATGTGTTTACTCAGCCAGCTAATAACTCTGTACAGGGGGCATGGCCTTATTCTATACACCACACACACACGATCAAGTGGAAGGGGATGAGATGTCAGTTCTAATTGCAACTCGTTTTGAAAGTCTGAATGAATCTCGTTCGCCATTCCTCCAAACTCAATGGCCTGTGTAGGCTGGTTTTATCCAAATTCCAGTAGAAAAAGAGAAGCTTAGCTTAACTCCCTATTCTTTAATTGTCCACACAGAGACATTGCAGAGTGTGACTGGCTTTAGTATGAACAGTGCGAGAAGATTAGGACTATACACGCAGACCTTACTCAGCTATGGGTCTTGTGTGACAACGTGTGCCTGTGTTTATGTGGGCTAAGCTACAGTATATGTTGCACTCGGCAGATTGAACTGCCTGCACTCTGGACTCTCTGACCCGGTGTTTAAAATGAATGCGTAACATGGCATACACATGCAAGCACACTGCGTTCATTATGTGATATATTTTGATACATATACACACAGACTTACCAAGGATGGAGACCTTGCTAAGGAACTCTTCATACATCTTTCTCTTTCTCAGTGTGCTGCCCTGTAAGACAAAAGAGACACATTCACCGTTAGACACACTCTCTCTCAAATTGTATGACAGCGCTCCACATTTATTGGAACAATGATCACTGTGATTATTCTGCAAAATATTGTTATAAGAATTCTTTGGTTTCGAGAAACAGAACCGATTTGATTTTCTCCTTTTCTTTCTTCTCACTATCATTAAAAACACTGTAAAAATAGTAGCAACTAAAGGTATTATAGTGGCTCTAATCTAAACAAATTAAAGTAATTACTACTTTGGGGAGTTGCTACTAAGACAGAATCTAAAAAAACTGTACTTGTTTGTTGTCAGAAAGTTTAAATTAAGAGCTTCATTAAATGACAGACAGTGATCCATGTTTTGGAACTGAAACATTGCTTTCACACCGATACTCAGAAGATTTATTGCACTTCTCCTGTGTATATATGCATATATGACTATATCAGTTTCTTTCTTTTTCAGGTTTTTATTTTACTGTAACACATCAAGTGTAGCAGAAGCACTTTATATGCCACAACTGGTCTTTAAAGCTCAAAACTTAACAAATATCAGTCCTGCCGAATGTCAAAATTATAATATATGGAAACTTAAATCAAATTTGCACTACTGGATGATTAATTGTGTAGACATACACTGTATATAGTTCACGGGGTCATACTTATAGAGGTGTGTATAATTTGTGTGGTAATGTTCCTCGCATGTGTGTGTCTGTGTGTGTTTGTGTGTCTGTGTGTGTGTGTGTGTGTGGCCCACCCCACCCACCAGGCAGGGGACTTTCCCCTCTCTGCCATGAACATCAGGTGCTTCCTGACAAGTCTGGACCCAGAGGACCCCCTTCCCTAAACTGCATTTCTCATTTTTTTCCCCCTCCTTCATTGCAGAGAACCACTCAGAGAGAGCGGGTACATAAAGAGAAACAGAGAGGGTGAGGAGAGACGATCTTGTCCACCCCGTGTCTGCCTCTGCATATGGAAATGATATATTGAGGCTTGGGGTGTCTTTAGTGCATAAGTGCCTGAGTCCCGCTGCTGCCTCTAATTTCATATAATTTCACATTTTGTCTTAAAAGGAGAGAAAATGTTCCCAAGTGAGCCAACGTCAAACTCAAAATCGTAAACAACTTGATTAAAGGAATTCTAGCCTGCATTGCCTCCCTCCTGGATAAATGATTCAAGTTTGTGTGTGTATGTGTGTGTGTGTGTGGGTGTGTGGTGCTGTGTGTGTGTGTGTGTGCGGAGCATGCAGTCTGTTTTTAGTTCTGCCACTTATGTTTCGCTGCTGTCTCTGCAGAGACGAAACTTCATGCTCATTAAGCAAGCAAATACAAACATTCACACATGTATATACTCTAGCCTCTAACACAATCTCACACACACACGCACTCCACTTTCTACAGAGATGTTGAGTTGGTCTCTTGATTTCATAGCCTCCCCATAGAGCTCCTCTGACAGGCTTGCTGAGCTTAAAGGCTTACCATGCGTACATAACAGCAGGTCTGATTTATGCCACTGGTGTAAGAAGGGCTGGGTGGGCCAGAGTAATGTCACCAGCAATAGCAGTTTACTGGGTAGGATGGAATGAAAATGATACTTTTCTAAATTTCTGATTCTAAAATTTCAAGTTATCATTCATTTTGTTGGTGCACATCTTTTTTTTTCTCTTTGCATTCTTTCTATCTGCATCTGTCCTAACCTTCCTGTCTACTTGGGAGGGCCTGAGCACATGTTTCATGTACAAAACTCCCCTACTCCTGTTGGCCCTAATGTGTTCGCTCCTCCTGTGGTTAAAGATGAACCAGCCTCTGTGTCTGCTTGCTGTCTTTGAGGCAAATCATCAAAGAGTTGAGGTGTGGAGCGAAGCCAGACTAAACCAACCGTACCTTACGCCTCATCCTCATCACCTTTATCTCTGTCCAATGCGAAACACATACAACGCCCCCCCACCCAAAATCCCTCCTCATTTCTGGGTATTATTTCTCCTTGTCTCCTTTGGTCTTGTGTGCTGTTTGTTGACAGTGGCCTGTCAGTTTGTTAATGGCTTTGTCTGTAGCTGTGCGTGTTTAAATACCAAGATGACAAGGTGGGTATTGTTTGACTGGCGGCTACACAATGGAGGGAGTGTATTTATCAAAGGGAATGGTATTACATTGTTTACTAAATGCACTCCTGGATAAGGAGGAGAGGAGGATGTGGGGGGTAAGGTGGCTTTAAAGGGCCGCCTTGGCTCTGATATTACATGACAAATTCACTGACATTGTGTCATCAGCGTACTCAGTGGTTGAAACTATTTGAAGACAAGTTTTGATGATGCTGACTATGGCATGAGTATGTGTCATGTTTTGACATTTGATGGTGATGTAAGGTACAACAGGTGATGTCTTCAAAGGCACATGCAAACATGTAGGTGCTGTTACATATGGCAGGAATTTAATAATATTTTCATTATCAATTATTCTGTTAATTACTTTTGTGGTAAATTGGTTAATCGCTCAGTCAAATAATTGTGAAAAATGCCCCTGATACATACTGAGGACCCTCTTGTTTTGTCCAAACAAAGTCTAAAACCAGAAGATACCGTTACTCAATTTACAATATAGAATGCAGAGAAGCAGGAAATCTTCACATTTGAAAAGTTTGATGTTATTCATTATTCAACGAGAAATTGATTCAGGCCTTCGCTAGAACAAGTCAAAAAGGCTTTGATTTTTACATTACAAATAACTTAGATAAATTAAATAAAGTTATTAGATAAATTGCCATAATGGTTTGTGAACTTCATCATTTGCAACCAGCAAAAGTTGATAACTTTTGACGGACATAGTTGCTCAAGATGATGTTTCTTGAAATACTGCTAAGAATATGTCAAAATCCGGCAGAGAAGCAGGACAGGAGAGTCGCAGATGTGCAAACAGTGAAACTGCTGGTAGCGGCAGCACACCTTCCCGAGCTCCTAACTAACTAGCTGCAGACACAGGCACTCAGCATAATTTTACTGGGAAACACACATACATACTTAGACACACAGAGAATGCTCATTGTGTTGGCCTAAGACGTTGCCAGAATACCACACTTTATAAAAACAGCTTTACAAATCATTGACAGCAGTAATTAACTACAGGTTCACATAATTGAATTCTGCTTCACCCCGTCTCCCCTCCTCCTGCTGCTGCTGGAAGGAATGAAGGAATGAGAGCTGGAGAGAGAGCGAGAGACGGAGAGAGAATCCTCTCAAAGAAAGGTTACCAGGGCAGACTGTGCCCTCAGTTAAACTATGTGCTTAAGAGGTGACATGAGTGCTGGGCAGGCCAGTGCCAACTTTACACTGAGCTGAAAGGTCCAAACACAGACCTTCCATCTCCGCGGGTTCAAACGGTTTGACACAGAGCAGAATTCTCACTGCTGATGAATGCTTAGATGCATACGGGTGTTCAGAAGATTAATTGGAGGCCATCTAATTTATTAAGATGTAAGGTGTTATTAAGATTTAAGTATTTAGTTGGGCATGGAGACTCATATAGACACACACTGTAATTAGTATTTCCAACAGCACCCAAAATGTGTGTAGGTGTGTGTGTGAATCGGTATGACAGCTAGGGCAGAGCACCTTGTGTTTTCAGTTTAAACATTTAGACATTCCTGCAAGATAAGCTCCTGGAGCGGGAAGTGTGTGTAGAGGCATTAGTGTTGACCCTCTCTCTCCTCCACATCCCTCCCTTTTTTTCACTCTTTTCACCTTTCTTCGTCTAGTGACAGATCTTGAGAGATGTTAAAAGAGGAGAATGCACCCGGTGGTGAAAGTGTTTTTTGTGTTTGTGTGAACGCACGTGTGTGTATATGCTGAATGTAAAAATTTTAAAACTAACTGTTTTAAGGAGTCTTAAGTGGTTGAGTGGGAGAAAACATTGTGGAAGTGAAGGACTACAAATGATAAGAGTGTATGGGAGATTTTTATTATATGTACATCATTCTTAAGAGTATTTTTGTGTGGTGTCAAAGTGTGTGTGTGTGTGTGAGTTTGAGGTTCGATAATTCACATTTTAATGGCGTAATGTAAGAGCTTTGTGAACTGGGGCATATTTTCTGCTAGGGAATAATGTCATTGTGTGTCCCCAGGTGTTGGACAGTTCTCCCTGTTGCCTGCTAAATGTGAATGTGTTTGTTAGAGTTAAAAGTTGAGGTGCATGACGCATGCTAATGCAGCCTTATAACTATGCATGTGTTATTAAAATGCTTATAGGCATTACAGAATTCTGGAGCCTCCTCCCTGAGAACAGGACACCTACTTCATTACCTTTCATACAACGAATCGCAGCAGGATTAAAGGTTCCCTGTTGTGTTTTTGACCTCAGAGGCACAATGGAGCTGTTCTTTTATGAGTGGTTCACTGTTTTGTTTATCTCATGCACGCGTACAAGGACTCTAATGTCGGGCAGGTGATGCGATACACAGTCCTGCCAATGGTTTAAAACTATTCCGCAGATCCACAGGTGGTAGTAACACAACAACATATACTGTAATGTTTGGAAATACTTTGCAAATGTTTTATGAGAAGGAAATACATTCAACACGTGTTTGGACCTCAAGGATACACACAGTGAGTTTTCGTGAGTAACACTGAATGTAAACAACACTTTTGTTTGTTTACGAGAAAACTCCACAGGGCACCTTTAAAGTAGACCTGAAATAATGGCTACCCAGCCATGTTGCAACAGAGCATTAGCCCGAGTGTGATGAAGTTCATACCATGAGGATGCGCCGGTAACTGTCTCTGTCAATGCCCCACAGTTTAAGATCAGTCTTGGCCTTGACGGTGGCAGCTCTGGGAGTCCCATAGATCAGGGCCAGTTCTCCAAAACTACCTCCTTCTCCAATACTGGTCACCCACTCCCCGTTCACATACACCTGCAGACAGAAGGAGGAAAAACAGTGATGGACAGGGTGTTACGTGAACTTAAATGCTTATGAAGAATCTCAATCATTGCTCAGTAGACTGGGTAGAATTCAATTTTTTCTGTCATTTCAACTTCTTCACCTATCCCAAAACCCCTTCCCCTACCCTTCTCCTCCCTCTCTCCTTCACCTCAGTTTCTGGGCCATTTGATATGCTCACTAGGCTTGTCCCTAAGCATTTGATCCTCACTAAGCCCTCAAATGAGACCCTCTAAAAGGCCCTCTATCCCTCCTATCTCTCCATCCTTCCTTTTTATTTTCCTCTGTCTTGTCTTGTTAGGAACTTCCCTTTGATTTGGGAGTGATGGAGGACGGACTTTGTGGGTCTACTCTCTAGATCTAAAACACATATAGGCACTCACATGCTTGTTCGCCGGCATGCACACGCACACACATGCACAGCTCTATTTAGGCCAGCCACTATAGTTCTACAGACAATACAACCTTATTGAGACTCATTCAGGCTGTCTCTGGGGCCGTTACGGTTTCACCTGTCGACACACTATCCACTATCTTGTTGACTTAATAACACAGAGAGAAAGGAGGGGAGAGAGGGAGGGAGGGGAGAGAGGGAG